ACATGATACATGTTTCCCCCCTTTATCATGTACTCTAATTTGAGTGGTCAGAAAGGTAACAGAATTTAAGCCAAGTTAATAGACTAGCCTTCAGAAGTATCTGTTCAAATGTTTCCCCCCAAAAAATAATTCTTTGAACACTTTGAGATTTAACCTAGGTACGTATATAACCAACCAAGTGATTAAGTATATATTCTTTGTCTAGTCAAATAAGAGTTATTCTTGATATGAACAAAGTTATCAGAGTATTGGCTTGTCTACTAAATGGATGGAGTATAAGTTTAAACAAACAAATGAATAATTAAGTAAATATCAATAAAAATAACAATACTGTACACAATTATCATCTTGAGAATCATCAGTAGGAAGGCTTCAGTACCGTATTTTTTGCTCCATAAGACACACTCCCCCCCCAAATAGTGGGGGAGAAAGTATGTGCGTCTTATGGAACGAATACAGTAAAAAAAGGGGTTCAACCACCACCACCCAGAAGCCCCCTACTGCCATGCTGGGAGGCCTCTGAATTAGCAAAAGAGACTGCTTGCTGTTTGGACCTCACCATTCTGCACTGCTGGCTTTCCAGGATCTGCTTCCTGCAGCCCACCTGGAAAACCAGCAAGGCTAACAGGCCTATGGTAGCAGGCAGTGAAAATAGCCAAGGAACAAAGGGGAAAGAGTAATTCTAGAAAGAACAGGGAAAACCACAAACACAGTCCCCCACTTAGGCAGTTGATTTTCCCACATTTGGGGAAATGACAGGGGTCAGAACATCCAGAGTGCAATAGATGAGCCTTACCCCAGGAAAACCACTTTTACAACAATGGTATCTCCCCTGCCAGGTATGAGTTGGAATGTCCCCTAAACCACCTGCCCCTTTCTGTGCCCTGTCCCCCAGAGGCATGGTGACCCCTCGGCTGCACCTCCTGATCAGAACAGGGCTGCATAGCCCCAGTCCCGAAAGAGGCCAAGAGAGCTACTCAGTGTTTTGGGGTGCCCCACAGGACCCCCATCAGAGTCTGGATGTTCCTCCCACAATCCTCCAGTGCACAGATATTAGCATACCTAATATGCGGGGAAGGCAGGGAAAGTGGGGAAATTCAAATTTTCAGTTAGTGAAGAGGCTGCTTGTCTGCTTCCTTGCTAGTCCAAGCAGTTAGAGAGCTGGGAGAGACACCTAGGAATGCCTGGTATTGTTAAATTTAGTTTAAAAGCTGTTTGTTTGGGGTTAGTGCTTGGGTGAAAAAGTGCTCCGTTTGAGTTGAAACCTGCTTGTGTAGAAACGTGCATAGGGGTAACTTGCTTTAAAAGCTGCTTGCAAAGTCTTTCAGACCAGTGCTGATCAGCTGTTAGGTGGGGAGAGGGGAGGGGGAAGGAGCAGGAGCCAGAAGAGCACAAAATGGCTGATGTCTGCTGGCTGCCTGCTGGCTTTTAGCTGTTTAGGGCTCTTTTTTGGCTATTCTGGGGTATACCAAGGCACAGTGAAGAGCAAGGCTCAGTCTACAGTACCTGGTAAGTGACTTTCTTTCAAGTTTTTTAAAGTTTCTGACCTCCCCCCCCCCATAAAATGCATTAATTAATTTTCAATGCATTCCTATGGGAAATTTGGATTCAACTTGCAAACTTTTCAACTAGTTCTGGGCATCTAATAGAGAATGTATTTCCAAAGGGTGTTGCAGCAAGGAAACTAACTGTGCCTTGTGACTTCTAACTGGATTACAGTACCTGCTTCCTGATTTCAGCTACTATAGTTTGTATTCAGTTTTTTTGGCTCATCAAGAACATTGTTCATGGCTTTGTGTGGCCTAACCTGTTGTGCCTTGCATGCTATAAATGTTCAATTATGTCAGAAAATGGAGATTTGGTCTTATGCTGAGCATGTGCTACTGCTGGTGAATGGGATCACGTTAAGCTTTGTGTTGGTGTTCTTTTGCATAACCTAAAGTAAATAAGGAAAACCAGCTGTTAAATAGTTTAATTCCACTATTTATCCTCCACACAACTAAAAGGGACCTCTCAATGCAGTGCCAAATCAGACAAACCATTTCAAACCATAGGCTTGAGCTGTAGCTGGGCAGAGTTGCACAACAATCTCATCTGTCATTGGGGAGGAGGTGGATGAAAGGAAATGTAAAATATAGGTAGAGTGGTATAGGTCTTATCACTGGCTGATAATGGTCTATATTAATGCCACTGTTGACTGCTGTTCACTTTACATGGTTCAAATGTTACTCTGTTATAGTTTATTAAATATTTTATTACACTATTTGGTTTAGAATATATTTTCCCTGTGTTCCTCCTCTAAAAATTAGTTGCGTCTTAAGGTCAGGTGCGTCTTATGGAGCAAAAAATATGGTAAGTCTGTATTTTCAAGTTATATGTTTCATGACATGTACACTACATAGGAAGTATTTCAATACAGCAACCCCAACTTTCCTACAGTGCTAGCTAACCTAGGCTATTGCGATGAAGGCAAGTTATAGGAAATGTTAGCAAAAGAAGTCTACAGATAGATATTGTTACAAGTTACATTAGCTGAAATACTCTCCCCTTTAAATAGTACCTGGTTAAGATGCAAGATCTTCTGGCTCAGGTATTTCTATCTTCCACTATCAGAATAAGAAGCCTCAATTCATCTAGCTAGCAAGTAAAATATATTCAGCTATTTATATCAGAATCTACCATGTAAGGATTGCAAGGACCTGTGTCTGATAGAGAACAAGTTATATCATGTAGTTTCCCCACAACAGCCAATATGGTGTGCTAGGCAGAAAATACTTGTGTACAGAAGTACAAAAGTACAGAAAGTTCAGCTACCAAACATATGACAGTACAAACTCTGCCTCATACCGGAGAGGGGGGGAGGGAGGACAGATGGAGAAAGAGAAAGAGATAGAAAGGCAAATGATGTCCCACAGGAATTGCAGGAAGATTACAGAAAATCAAGAGGACTTTTCCACTTCAGCTTCTACCGCTATAACCAGTAAGAAAGTTAACATTTAGAGCAAGATACAGTGTTATGTTTTGCCTGAAGTGTACTCCTTAGTTTACCATAACTGAAGCAGTGGTTTTCAGCATTCACTGTAACCAATCACTCTGTCAAAGAACCCAAGTCCCAAAACTCGATTTTTGTTTGACAGAAGGAAAAAGAGGGCTTTTTGCTAGGAGAGCATTTATATATTTACAAGCAGTCTGTTATTGATCAGAATCCTACTACTTACACCTACCAGTGTAACTCCAATAATCTATATTTCAGTGAGAACTTGATGCTAATTAGGACATCAGTGATCATATTTCTTGTCTCACACCAGTCAAATGATGTGGCATGCCACAGGAAACATAAATGTTGACTTCTTACCTAGGGGCTATTTGCCACTAAAATTTTAACCATCAGACTCAGGGTGCAACTAGATGAGAGAATTTGGAGTAATCTGGATTTAAAATACTCTTATCTTCAGTGCAGTCTGTTTTATCTCACACTTGAGTGATCCTTCCATTCTCACGGGAGACATTTCTTCTCTCAGAAGAATCCAGACAGCATTTCAAATTGCTTCATTTTCTCCTCCTTTCAATTATGGATGCCCTCTCTCCTGCCTTTTGTTGCAGTTGTCATTCCACAGGTCATGGAAACTTATCTTTTCTTGGTTAATTTAGTAACTCGCATAGCGCTAGAGCAATACATCAACCTAGCATGGATACCTTCTTGTATCTGAAATAGTGCTGCATTGCCTAGGATAATAGGAAATAGAAGAGAGGGTTTTTTCCACCATCCTTTCTACTGTCACAATCCACTGTCACAGGGTTTTTTAAAAAATTGTAAGAGAAAAATAGAAGAGAGGGTTTTTTCCACCATCTTTTCTACTGTCACAATCCACTGTCACAGGGATATCACTAAGGAGAACGCCACCCATAGCTCTACTTGGAACCATATTAAGCAAGCACACAGACTACAAAATGGCATGATCAGGAACACTCCCAATCACACCAAATAAACTGTAGCCCAAGCGCTGTGCAAGAAAGGAGCAGAACAGCTCACAAAAGGGGAAGAATGCATCAGTCTTACTTAAAGCACAGGTGGTTGCCAGAAAATATAGTGAACCAAACCACACCAAGACCAAACCAAATAGCAAGTTATATGTTCATCTAATCACTCCATTACACCGATGTAAATGTACGCTACTAGATTTAACACTGGTATAAATATGAATTCTTCACATATGACAGACACATGATAGATATCCTCTTGCAGTAAAGGAGCACATCAATAATTCTCACTGGTAGGCAAGGACAACAAGGGATGAGGAGTGTCCAAGTTACTACTCGCATGGCAAAAGGTCATAGAAATATAGAATTCACGGCTGTTAGGGCCAAATGGACATGGCACATCAGAAATGCAGGAAGACACAAGGACTAATAGAGCAAAAGCTGAGTAATTATTATGAAACTCCCATTTTCCACTAGACTACTTCTGTGGTGCACATACTACTAGATGAGAACTACTGATCTACAGTTTATTTTCTGTAAGGGTATCCACACACAAATTGTTGAATTTTTAAAGTGACCATGATACGATCTTCCAATAATATTCAAACAGAACACTGTTTGAAGACTGCATTGAGCCTTCAAAGATAAAAAAACCCCAATCTACTACTAAATTTTCTAGATATAACTGTTATTATATGAAAACATACAATAATGAAACAAATTATTGTACTATCTTCCATCTCAATTGCTAAAGCAATCACTTAAACAATTATCCTGAAGGATGTTTTCTTAATTGTTTTGAGATTGTTTTGAATTGCTAGATATTGCCACAGCTTCTTCCAAGGTTAGTTGTTTGATTATGACCTACTGATGTCTAATTTTATCAAAAATGTATTTTTACACTGCCTTTTAATATACATACTCCACAAAGCATTTATATGTATGTTCTACTAAAGGAGAAGAGATCATAAGCAACATAAAACTTATTAACTCTCAAATTAAAACCAGACTTCACTTACTAGTTACAGCAATGTTTATCTCTCCTGTTCTTGGAGTCAGCTCTCCATCTTGTGGAAACTGTGATATTCCAGAAGTACGTAGTGGCTCGAGAGTAAGGGAACTGTCACTGCTAAGGTCACCAAGTACTGATCTCCTGTTGCCTAGTTGGCCTCTGGTTAGCCTTTCCATATCGAAGGCCATATTGTCAGCACATGGCACATTTGTCTGAAAATACAGCAATGTCACTTAAATGCATTTGATTCTGAAAACCATGCATGTTTCAGAAAATATAACAAAATAAAGTATCAAAAGTGTCTACAAAACTCTGCCTATGGGATATACAAATACAGTGGTGCCCCACATAGCGACAATAATCCGTTCCAAAAAAATCGTTGCTATGTGGATTCGTTGGTATGTGGGGCAAAAAAGCCCACAGGAACGCATTAAAACACGTTTAATGCGTTCCTATGGGCAAAAAACTCACTGTTATGCGGAAATCCTCCATGCGGTCGCCATTTTCGCTGCTCGGTATGCGAGAAAAGGGCGCGAAAACACTGTGGGTGGCCATTTTTTCTGGTGGCCATTTTGGAATCGCCGATCAGCTGTTTTTTAAAACATCGCTATGCAAAAATCGGTAAGCGAAATGATTTTTTGCCATTAAAGAGATCACAATGCGATCGGATTCTTTGTTAAACGGGGTGCTCGTTAAGCGAGGCACCACAGTATAAGTAGCAGACAGCGAAATAGTGTAGCAGTCTCCACTGAGCATAACAGCACATAACGTAGGACTGGGGGGGGGCTTTATTTATAAAGTATTAGTTATGCCTTGATACCGAACCAAATGCCACCTATAATAGGTATGGTAATGTTCTGTACATTTTTGTAGACTGTTAAGAGTCACGCTCACTCATTATCAACATGCTTACACATGAGTGACGAGACCCTCCACCCTTTGTCATTACTTTCTTCATGTAGAAAGGAATGTGTCTGAAAAAGAGAAACTCCTACCTATATGTAGGCTCTACATCTGAGCAAGAAGCACTGTTTTCCAGAGTTCTTGCTCATGTGTACAGACTACATGAAAAGCAGGGTATTCTCTTGTTGGTCTTCAGATGTGTATCAGTTATATATGCAGTATATCAGTTGGCAGAGTTCTGGGTGAAGATGGCAGAGTTTTATGCAGCACTGAATATGAATCTGACTCCTGCAATTTCTCCTGCATCCTGTAATTTTTAGGTTTGTTGGTTTCTAAAGTGCTTTTCTTGGTTTACTGATGCTGATAGAAATGGTTGGTTTTGGTACCAATGTTAATGCTACCTCTTTTTTTTTTTTAGGTGCTCAAGAGTACTTCTGTGGTGAAAATTCAGGAAAATCTGAACATTTGTTATCCATGAACTTTCCCAAACTTTCCTGAGGTAGAGTGCTTCTGTGAGGTGGAGGAAGGTTCTTTTTCAAATGATTGTGCCATTTTAATAGATTTTTCCAGTAAGATTGTAAATTAGTTCAGCAGTTTTTAAGGATTATGTTGATAAACCCTCTACATATCTTACACTGCTGAGTAATACATCCCTATATGCGCCACTTTACTATCACAGGCAATAACACAGAAACATTTAAAAATGGTGGTGGGAAAATGTGAAGGCTAAAAATGTGAAGGCCCTCTCTCTCTTTTATGATAAGATTAAAAAGGGGAGGGAAATAAAAGAAGAAGAAAAAAGTATGAGAAAAGTATAGATACTATTTACAATTTAAGGTTTAAAGAAAATGGAAATTCTAAAATTCTTTCCTCTGGTGTCGCTTGTGCAGCAGACAGAACTGAGGAGATACCCTTAGGAAGTAGTTAGATATGCTTAGTGGCTATGGGGGAGGGGAGAAGAGTCTACTTATTAAAAATTCTGGAATTTTCCAAAGATGTTCCAGCACAGGCACCACAACACCTATGTGTGATTCACAAAGAAGAATGGATGGTAACACCACCCTTCTGGAGAAAGCATCTGCCAAAACTTTATAATCTAACAAACAGTCTAACAAACCTTTGTTCCAACACTGGAGTGAAATGTCAGTCTGATCCATAAGATGTTGAGTTACAGCAGCAGTAATGAATAAAACTCCTGCGCACTCACTGAGGCAGCTGGTAGAAATAATATATATAGCTCTGTACAATGCAGGAATCAGGTAAACCTCTAATAAAAACTGAGTGAAAGCAATACTGGGTAGATGACATCAGGAGTCATCAGACACAATCTTGATGGGAAAAACCATGTGAACAATAGTACTTGCTCAAGTGCATCCTCCCCAAATGATGGGTTGTCTGTTGCACAACCTGCTATGTGAATGTCAGTCCACTGAAGGAGGAAACTGCTTGCACAATTCTTTTGTGTGTGGTTTTCCCCAATGAGATTCTGGTCTTTATAATTTTGAACACTGACACAGAAACATGGACTTCCTTGGAAGAAGGCAACTGAAGAATCTGTTGCATCTGGTATTAGAGATGACAGAGATGAGGAATCTGGACCCCAGAAGATGCCAGAATGCCAGATGAAGATCCTGAAGCAGGCAGACACTTGGAAAGGAATTAATTTTTTTATTTGTCTATTTCATTTTGGGTTACAGAGATGAAGAAGCAGCATTCCTCTTCTTCAAGATCTTAGACATCTCTAACACAAGTAAACTCCCCACCAATGTTCCCTCAAATTTTCCAGCATGTTGGGTGAGGGCTCCACCCCAAGCACACAGAGTTCTGACTGTAACTGGAAGCAAATGGGCAGCAACACTGGCTCGTCTGTACGGACCTAATGCAGTGCTGTGCAGGCATGCATCTTAGAGGGAACATTGCTCCCCACCAACAAGGCCAGGAACAGAGACTCCAATGTACCATCACAAATACCGAGGCAACAGCTGACATCATCAGCAGTATGGATGTTCAGTCTGCAGGCAACAACAGAACTGGTTCTGTGGAACCAATCACATCTTACGGTTCTGATTGAGCAAGAACTTGAAAGTATCAGTTTTGAGAAGTTAAATCAAGGGAAGGCAAGGAGGCTAGAATGCTTTGTAACAGAGATGGATAGTTGTAGCCCCTTTCCTCAAAGAAGTGTTCTGAGGTGCAAGGTGCAATTTTATCTGGTCTTTCTGATAAACCTCTGAAATTAACCATATGTGTCCTGCCTAAGCAAGAAATGAAGTCAGAATGGATGTCAATTGGGGAAAGTATACTCCCCCAAATGATACTTTTGAGAATGATTTGCATTACCATAAATCAAGAGAGGCATACGTATGTCAATGACAAAAGGTCAGGAATAATAGAAGAATGAAGATTATGGTAGAACAATGGAAACAATAAAATTTAAAGTTGATTTTAAAAATGAAAGTATACTGTGCTAAGTAGTACTTCTATCAAGAAACTGAAGAGTGAGACAGAATGTTTGAAAGATGCTGGTGTTGTAGATGAAGAGCTGATTGTAAAGTCAAGAACAATTTCTCTTGAATACAACTGTAAGGGCATATTTCCTTAAGGAAAAGCTCAGTTCCAGAATGTTCTGGAAGACAGTCTGTGCAGGAACAAATCTGTGTTCATGCACAATTAGGAACCTGATAATAAATAATCTCAGAACTGCAGAGATGAAAGGGACCCCATGGATCATTGAGTCTGACTCCTGTCAAGGAGACTCAGTGAGGAAATGAACTCCCAACTCTGGCTCTGCATTCAAATACCTAAACCACTGAAACTTGTTATCTCCTTTATGACCTAATGATTACAGAGGTACCAAGATTTAATAAATATGGTACAGTCAGCTCATTTTCTCTTCTGCAGTAAGAACCAGAAGACATAATGTCTTCATATTAAGCTAATATAGGTTGACCAGTTTCACTGGAATGCAACAATCTAGAGGCACTGTAGTTCTTCATGCAAAAATCTAGAGATCATTTACAAACCTTGATGATGGACTATTTCATATTTCAAATGTTTTAGTAGGATGAACTTACTTGATTATATTAGTTAAGATAAGGTATAAAGGATGGTTGTATCTTCTGTGTGTCTATTGCAAAATAATATATTTTTGCTTTGGACATGGCCATGATCCAAGACCAAAGAACAAATCAAAGAAAAACAAGTTATTATCAATGAAGACTAGTCTTTGTAATCAGCAATCATATAATGGATGTGTTAAATGTCCACAGCCCAATATTTCAAAAATGAACAGTTGGAACAGCATTACGATTTTATGCACAAATAATACGAAAGCCAATACACCTGAAACTTTCTGATCTTTCTTACTGATTTGTGTGCTGTTCTGTGATATTTTATAAAAATAAACTCTATACTGCTGACTGTATTAAAACATTTCAGCTTACCACAATTCCTAGGGCCTTCAAAATGTTCAGTTTACACATAGGACAGGTGCAGTGTTCACTGAGCCATGGATCTACACAAGTTTTGTGGAAAACATGCCTGGAAAAAAAAACAGAGAAACAACTGGATTATCTATAAACATTAAAACAGACACTACAGGGAAGATGTAATAAATGGCAACTGTGAACTCATCTAGAGTTCCATATTTTGCTTGTATATATTTCTTTTTTTTTTCAAATAGATATTTTCTTGGAAAAAAAAGTGTAGCAAAATAATGACAGAAAGAGACCTATGTTTTGAGTATGGGTAACTAGCTATATAAAGTATAGTGAAAATAGTACTTCTAAATATAGACATTGCTCAGACAGCAACACACGAGTTACTTCCGTGCTTTACACTGCTGCTAAAAGTATGCATAAACTGAGCAATTATATGAAATGGGAGAGGTTCATCTATGTCCACACCACAAAGTTTTTTCTCTCATTCCTAAGCAACAGTGTTGCTTGGTTACTGCATTCACATGGACTAACTAAGTTGTGTGAGATGATACCAACACAAACATAACTGAAAGGATGAGAGTCAGTTTAGTACATCTTTATCTGTTGGGCTGGTGCATGTATGTATTTGTGTGATTTCTGTAAATTACCTTTGATTAATTAATCAAAGGTCATATATTCTTTTATTATAAATCTTGAACTCATCCACTCTTTAGGAAAGTCAGAACAGCTTATGCAGAGCTCCCGTTCAGGTTTTGATCATATCCCCATGCATATCTACTTAGCTTCAAGAATCCTTATAGCATCAGGTGATCCCATATTATTAATTCATTGGAACATGTGGAAAAACTTAAAAGATTGTATGATGAAAATGTAAATATAACATCAGAACCACTACCTGACTCAATTTTGTCAGAATACTCTAGAAATTTAATTACAGTGGTGTCTCAACTTACGAATTTAATCCATCCCAGAAGAGGTTAGTAAGTCAAATCAGCATTTCCCATAGGAATGCATTGAAAACCAATTAATCTGTTCTAGCTGTTTTTTGTTCGTATGTAGAGGCGCCATTTGTAAGTCAAAGAAATACCGTAGTTCCCATAGTAACTAATGCAAAACTGGTAAATCCGTCCTCTACCATTAGGGGGAGAATTTTTAAAAAAACCTAAGATGACTTACGTTAAAAAAAAGGGGCAGGAAGGGAGGGAGGGAGGGAGGGAACGAACACCTTTTAAACAGAAACCAAGCAGCTTTAAACCAAACCAAGCACCTTTTAAACCAATGTTTACATTTTAAAATTAATACAGTGCCAGGTGGTACAAAGTCCATTTCCCGTTTCCCCCATGTTTTTTGTTCATAATTCAAAGCTCCAATCGCGAATCAAAGCAAAATTTTGCAAACAGAGCTGTTCGTAAGTTGAAATGTTCATACGTCGGGGCGTTTGTAAGTCAAGGGACCACTGTAGTCAGAATTTAACAGAAAAACATGTTTTACTCGGGAAATGTTTCAGATTTTAAAAGACAAATATAGAAATTGAGTCAATATTCCAAAGTCTTTTAAGTATACTTTTTCACATATTTTATGCTAATCTGATGAAACTCATCCTGAAATTCAGTAGGTGCAAATGACTTGCCTGAACTGACACCAACCTTATTAAATCATTCACACATTAGCAGTTTGCCTCAATAAATCCATTTCCTTTGAAACAGATGTAGGAAACTTGTTTATTTAGGAGGGCATAAATTAGGTAAGCAAAGTCTCTGATGGCCAAGTAATTAGCTCTCCTTCCATCTTTTCTGAACCTTAAACCTTCAAAACACTGCCCAAATAATCTAAGTAGGATGAAAGATACCCCTCACAAGTTTAAATGCACAATTAAGAGTCCATTCCAGTCAAAAAGCCCAACTGCATGAAGTTAACAAAAGCAGATGAAAAGCAATGAGTAAGCAAATACATTTATGCAGGTGCTAGAATTAACCAGATGTTCTGAGGGGTTTCTATTGTTGGTTAAACATGGACAAAAGGGATAAAATTAAAATTTAAAAAAGGCACCAAAGAGCCAACATAATGCTGGCACATCAAAAAGCCCAACCAGCATAGTTGTGTAACACTGAGGATAATGGAGATGAACAGATGCATCTAGGAGCAGCCAGAATAGTAGCAGGCTGTTCTGGCATCCAGAGTCACCAGGGAGCTGCCAGTATTCCTCCCACCAGTCCAGTCAGTAATTGTCACCATGGGGGTGGACAGAACTGTACCCAACAGATAACTGGAGAACTGCTTGTGTAAGGAGATACTGGATGGCTCATGCAAACTTCAAAAGGTGTAACTACTTGAGTCATGTAGTGGTTAAACTGCTGTACTGCAGCCAAAACTGTGCTCATGACCAGGGGCTCAATCCCTGGTAGCCAGCTCAAGATTGACTCAGCCTTCTATACTTCTGAGATTGGTAAAATGAATATCCAGAAATAAAATGTGGCGCTCAGGGGGGGGGGGGATGTGTAGCCTGCATAATTAACTTGTAAACCGCCCAGAGAGTGCTTTAAGTGCTATGGGACAGTATATAAACAGCAATATCTATAAAGGTAGAAGCTATCAGAAAGACAAAATATCAGCTCCTATCACAGGAAGACAAGAAGAGGTAAGTATGGAACTTTTCCTGTCAGATAATATTGAGAATTTAAAAGGGGATGCTAACAGGGATGTGATTTGGACATAAGCATGAAATAAGAGCTGAACACACTGCAGCTTTACAAATATCCTAGAGATATCTGGGATCCTGAGGGGAGATATTATAACACTTTTCAAATAATGGAAAGGCTGCTATACAGAGGAAGGGTAAGATCTGTTCTCAATCACCCCCAAGGGCAGGACATGCAACAAGTTGAATATCAGGAAAAACATCCTAACTATTAGAGCAGTATGGCAATGGAACTAATTATCTCAAGAGGTGGTGAGTGTTCCAACATTGGAGGCATTCAAGAGAAATTTAGACAACCACCTGGCAGATATCCTTTGATTTGTATTCCTGAACTGAGCAGGGACTTGAAAGACTTGATGGCCTTATATGCCCCTTCCAACTTCATGATTCTACGACCCTTCAGTAAAGCACTGGATGCTGAAAAACTCAGATGGAATTACTTCTTAAACCTTCTAGTACATTTTAAAAGCAAGTTCATATGACAGAATGAATTTTTGGACCACCATTTGGCCAGATGTTTGGAGGAAACTGGTTGACCCTTATGTAGACCTTGATAATATGCAAATAGTTTGGGAGCTGAAGTAAATTATTTTATGCGTGATGTGTAAAATGCAACTGCACTTCAACATGCAGTGAATGCAGGGCTCTCTCTAAATCTGTCCATGTGATAGAAATAAGGCAAGAAGAACTAAAGGTTGTGACAAATGAAGTTGGGAGACCACTCTAGGCAAGAAGGTTACATCCGGGTACATGGTTACTTTCTCTCTATGAAACTGCAAGAACTGGAGGTCAAATTAATGCACAGAGTTAATTAACTAGTCTTGTAGACATAATGGGCACAAAGAAAACAATTACATATGTCAGTAAATGTAAATTCGCAGTGACCATAGACTCAAAAGGAAGTCCCATTAACAGACAAAACCACAGACAAGGATACCTGGAGGGTTGGTGATTTAATATTTGGATATAAATTGTTTTGTTCTTTGAAAAACTCATCTTTGACAACTAGATTGATTTCTGAAGGAAACTGCCTATGAAGAATGTAAGGGTTGATTTGCAACCACTAGTGCCAAGTAAACCTTTATGGATGGCTGCAACAGACCCATTTTTCCAAGTGTGTAATGAAAATGAAGAACTGTATGGAGTGTCACAGAGTAGATGTAGGATTTTTTTAATGCAGGGTCAATTATCAATACGGAGCCTCCCAGATACTCCTCTCTGTATACTGGAACAGTTCTGAGATATCTGGTCCAGTGTTCAAACATGTCTTCTTTCTCATGCCAGTGCTGACAAATGAGATTGATTTTATCTAGTGTTCAGGATATCATTGAACTACTGTAGATATTGTTGTAAGCTGCCTTTAGTCCTTTTGAGGAGAAAGATGAGGTAAAAATATTTAGAATAAATAATCTATGTTGCTTTAATGTTGGCAAACAGGGTCAATCATCCTTATTTGTACACTTTGGTGTACATAAGTGTTTTAGGTCTCAATATTTTTCTAATCTCAGTGTTGCAGAGTGAAAGCAATCTTGCCCTCTCAGTATCAAAATCAAGCTCTAACATGTTTATCCTTCCCCAACATAAATGGAATCTAAGTCATGTTTGTTGCTTGGTTTCTATTATTTCTTTCTGTCATTGGCTAAGATCTCCCAGATGAAGGACTTCGATTCCATGTACTCTCCATACATCCACTAATCTTCACAATATGGTAAAAGAAGATCCGTCCACACGAGTAAAGAAGTGTAGTAGAGGCATAAATGTCTTTTCTCTCTTTCTCACACTTTCACACAATGGCAACATAAAGGGATTTGGCTTGTCTTTGGGTGAGTGAGACCTCAATGTAGGGAGACTGATGATCAACTATAACTCAGGAATTTGATGTCAAGGGGAGTCAACAGTAGGCTGAGTAGGAGCATCTTGAGGTGAAGATGTACAGTGGGGTCTTGACTTAAGAACGGCCCGAGTTACGAACATTTTGACTTACGAACCACTCTCATCGGAAAATATTGACTTGACTTGCGTACTTGGATTTGAGTTACGAACTAAAAAAACCCTGAAAAAAACCACGTGGGAGGCAGGGAAAGTGCAAAATTTGAACTTTCAGTTAACTGTTGGCCAGTGAAAAGGGTACCTGTCTGCTTCCTCACTCCGCCCAGCGTTTAGAGAGTGGATTGGGAGACAGTCTTCAGACTGCCTGGTACTGTACTGCCTGGACTGTATTTTCCCTGCCTTCCCTGAACCTTTCTTGACCGAAGAAAAAAAGAAACAAAATATCCCCCTCTAGTGGTCGAAAGCGGAATAGCAGCTTCCCATTAGTTTCTATGGATGGAAAAGAGCAGATACGGATCAAATGGTTTTCAATGCATTCCTATGGGAAATGCAGATTTGACTTGAGAACTTTTTGACTTGAGAACCGCCTTCCAATACGGATTAAGTTCTCAAGTCAAGACTCCACTTTATGTGTAATGGGAGACCCTGGTGATGATGTAAGGTGACTCTAGTTTGTCATCTGACACCAAACTCAGGCAAATGACCTCTTCAGGCTCAATGTAGTGAGATTTGGTATGAGCTACTAGTGTAGCTGATTATGGTGCTTGAGGCTGAACCACCACAGATAGAACAGTCCTTTTAGTTTTGTCTTATCCTTCCTTTTGTGTCTTTTCTCCTTAGACCTATCTGTGTTAGAAAGAGCCTTCTCCTTTCCATCAATACCAAAGGATATAGCACAGATGCTTGTGAAACTTTTGGTTCTCAAGTTGTCAATGCTATAGATAGCTCCTCTCATTGTTGTTCTGCTACATCTCTTGCGAATCTAAGTGAATCTAACTGGGCAGTAGCCATCAAGGACTTTTTTGACAGCACATTACAGATCAAAGTTGTCTGTACCAATTTTGTTTGTTTTGCAATGGTATTGATGGCTTTGTGGGATTTTTTTTCCAGAAATACCACTTGACTCTCAACTGGTGATTTCTCAAGTCTGCTCTAGTAAACTTTTTACAAACCTGACAGTGTTGTGTCTGATGTCTGAGACTCCAAGACAGTAGGGAGAAGAGAACTATTTACAATAATTATGTCTGAAGTGAAGCTACATAACTCTTTCAAGGTGATGCTACAGTGGTGGTTGAGAGGGAACTCAGGAGAAGTTCTTGGTGGGTTGGAAAATGCATACTGGAAGGGGAAGGTGGTAAAGGCTTCTCAGTTGTGGAAGGTTCTGAGGATTGTTTGCACACGCACAGAGAACCCATGTGTGTGAAACAAAAACCTTGAAGAAGACCAGTTCACCAGGCTTTATCGGCAGTCTCAGAATTTTAAGAACAATCAGAAAGTGCCAGAAAAAGTTCCAATCAATTAATCAGGATCAGATTCTGAAAGTGCCCCAGGGCCAGAATAAGAAATTGGCAAGGATGATGAAATGGGTCTATTCAATCCTCTTTTTCTGAACTCTGATATAGGAGGATATATAATTTTAACTGGCAAAATACAGACATGGTGCATTAGCTGCACATAGTGCATGTATGTCTGAATGGCAGGTTTCCTCTTCACCTACATAAAAGCAGATGTCTCTTATTTCTACAGTACTTTCATATTTATTGTGGAAAAAGCTACTTATTTAGAAACACACTCCTTTCACAATTGACAATGCCATGTACATATTTTGTCTTTTAAGTCCACATACTTTTCACAGATTTCAAAAGTGAAGCACGAATAATGTCTCAATGAAAAGGGAGACAACAGACGTATGATGCAGATGTCAGCAGAAATATGCAATCCTATCCTTCTGCCACAAACAGAAACACTCATGATGCTGTTAAATCTAAATTTCATGAAGAATGATTTCTTTTGTATATATGGAGAATACACTTAGCATCCAAGTTTAAAATGTTAAATCAAGCTACAAATTGGGAGGGGGGCAACAAAATAAAAAATCCTAATTCATTTATTTGCAAGGACAAAGCATTCTCTCCAAAAGAAGCTAAACTGTTGGCTTACTTGCATGGCAGAATGCGAACAACATCATTCTGCTTGTAACTTTCAATACAGACAGCACAGTGATCGAAGTCTGGGTCTGTTTCCTAAAATGAATACAATAAGAATTCAGGTAAGAACTAGCAGTGAGCTAACCTATCAAACAGATAAACAGCAGGATGAAATATGAGCTGAAGGACTAAAATATGTTCTATGTAATGTGTACAGTATTCTTTTTTTTTTACAGCTAAGGTCAGAACACAGTTCACAACATTTTACGTCAAAGTCACAGCCCTAGAGTAGACTTTGCATATAAAAGTCCTGTACAAGCCTTGAGAAGAAGAAAAAGCCAACATCCTTTCTACATTTTATGCCCATTTGAGGGAAATCACTCAGCTTTCCCTCCTCTAGCATATTCTTCTTTGCATGGTTGTTCATAAAAAAAACAATTCTGCAATCAGTGCTTGTCTGCTTACACAAAGGACAGCCTGCCAGGGGAGAAGAAATGGTAACAGGGTTCTAACCTTTATGTCCAAGACTTTGAAGAACTGCTGTTGACTTTAAAAAAGCAGAGCAGGCAGATCTTTACTTCTGATTTACTATTACACAGCATTGTATCTTTTTATGAATGTTTTCATGCTCAAATGAATTCTGAGTATGTTTGTCCTCTTTGTGAAACACTTCCCAAGAAGTCTTTCCCACTAACTGGCAGCCAATTAAAATGTTTATTCTCACAAACCTATTACACATCATGGGAATATAATTTTACTACTCGACTCTGTCAGTAATAATTACTCTGTTTTACGTGTTTTACGTACTTTATGGAATCAGTTGATTTACAGGCACTAACAGTGTTGCCTGTTTATTTTGAATTTGGATCTTATTTATTTACTTGATTTATACCACCCCATCACTTTTTAAAATATTGTTGTATTGTTATGTTGTTTATTTGTATATTTTTACTGTTTTATACTGGATTTTGTGTATTTTGCAGAAAGACAGGTTTGGCTGCTTACTTGTAACTGTGAATCTGCAAGTAGTCATCTCTATGTTCACACACACAGCTTCTGCACCCATATGGGCCAGGTAACTAAACAACTGGTCTTTAAAAGATTTAGATTTTTCTTACTGCAGGCACAGATTCCACACCCAATTGATGACAAACTAAAACATTTGCCTTTACTGTTATTTGAAAAGCCCAGTAATTGATTACCATTCATAGAGGAGAACATATTTCACTTGCTAAATATAAGTTACTACCAATAGTATAATTCGAATTTCTCTACCTGCGCAATTACCATTTAAACCTCCACATCAAAGATTTTCAGTAATGTGATCACATACAATTACATAGTTTGTATTTTGCAACAAAACCTTCTGAGCACATGCATACACAAAATGAAATATACACACTAAGGGGAGTCTTTAATCACAAAGATTGGAAGCTATTTCTTATTATTACTCCCCCCAAGCAACAGAAGAAAGCAAATCCCAGAACCACTACTAATCCAAGTCTCTTTTAAATAAAATGGCAGCCAGGCACTTAAAAAGGAATCCAATACACAAACAATGCAGGTAATAAGATCTGGACACTCTATACAGCATCCACAGTGCTTCAGTGCTATTTCCTTAGCTACGAAGAGCACATAGGACTATTAAGGCTGGAAACAGATCTAACAGACTGAGACAGCAATGAGGAGACAACCTGTCACAAAAATGTAGAAGCATAAAGATGTATGGGCTTGAAGTAATTATTGAAAATAATGAAACAGAAGAGATGATTAACTAGCTTATACAGTTTTACAATCAATTGTACATTTCCCTGTATAGTAACACACAGTTAACATTCAATTGTATAATTATACCTTATCCCCTTTCTTCACAGTCCTTGTTGTTAGTTTACCAACAGCTTTCTTGGCAGCATCTCCAAGACGACGCTATATAAAAACACATATATGGACACTGTGATTAGGTACTGAAAGAAACTAAGCCCACACCATTATATTTCATTTTCTATACTATATATAGTCATATACGTACTAGTATATGATGTCATATACTAAATGACATCATTTCAGCTTATTCTAATTTGATAAACACTCCAGGGGAACTATAAATAACTTATGAGCAACTGAGGCATAAGAATCAAGGCAACAAGGAGGAATGACAAAATTTACAAGTGCCAATTCCAACTTAATGATGCAGTATGTTCCAAGTTAACTGAGAATCACCACCTGCCACCGGACACAACTTATTTCCAAGGTAATTTTCTTTGAACATAGCACAGCGACATTATTCTGCTTCAGTAAGTAGGTTTTCCAGCAAGAGGAAAGTTGGGATTTACACAGTGGGAATCAAGCAAGCAATTTAAGTTTTTTGTTTAAGCTACAATAACAATATTCTCTGTTATTCTGAAGATTCTGGTTTTAGATGTTTTCTGGGATCTGTCATATTCCTTTTGTAGCCTTTCTAAAAACAATTGAAGACAGATGTCACTAAAAGGGCAAGATTGCATTATTTTTTCCTAATCAGTAACACTGGTAAGAATATTTAAAAAGATAAAGAGAGGTTACCTACCTGTAACCATAGTTCTTCTAGTGGTCCTCTGTGAATCCACACAATTGGGTTATTCTGTGCATGTGCTGAACCTCTTGGAAGTTTCTAGAGCTTAAAAACACATGACTAGTGGGATATTCCCCCATGGAGCGCATGCTCCACCCATCACTGATCCCCTCAGTTCCTGTAAAAGTCCGCCACTGCCAAAGAGCTATTTTAAGGTACAATGTGACAGACAGAGGGGAAGATGGGTGGGATGTGTAGATTCACAGAGGACCACTAGAAGAACTATGGTTACAGGTAGGTAACCTCTCTTTCTTCTTTGTGGCCTCTGTGAATGCACACAAGTGGGTGATTGGCAAGCTCACTTATCAGATGATGGGACGTCACTGTAGAAATTGTGCCAAAACAGTTCTGCAAAACCAGCATCATTCCGTGCTCTGACATCAAGATGGTAATGTCTGACAAAAGTCGATAGAGTAGACCATGTCGGTGCACGGCAGATGTGAGGGGGTTTAATCCCACGCTGGAAGGCAACAGATGTGGACAGCAGTCTGGTAGAATGGGCTGTTAAATGTTCAGAGGTGTTTTGCCAGTCAGCTCATATGCCAATGAGATAGTATGGACAATCCATCTAGAAATAGATTGCGGTGAAGCAGGAGCCCCTTTATGACGACCATGAAAACACAGAAAGAGTCCCTGTGATTTTCTGAATGATTTAGTCCTGTCAATGTAAAAGGCGAGGAAACATCTTATGTCAAGTGTATGGAGCATGAGCTTGAGAGGTGTTGACAGAGATGGAAATAGGGTAGGGTAGAATTATCGGTTGATTGAGGTGAAATTCAGATACAGTACTGTACAACTTTAGGTAAAAAGGACACATCAAAATACAGAGTGACCTTATCCGGATGGAACTGAAGGAAGGGTGGATCAGATTAGAGGGCTGCAAGTTTGCTAGCTCGCTTAGTAGTTGTTATTGCCACAAGAAAAGATGTTTTCAAGGAAAGTAGTTTAGGATCACAGGTAGCCATTGGTTCAAAGGGTGGTCGAGTAAGTGCATTGAGGACAAGTTGTAAAGACCACTGAGGAACAGGACGTTGACATGGGGGGCAATATTGTTGAGTCCTTTAAGAATTTTTTTTACAACTGGTTGAGAAAAAAGTATGGTTGATTTAGAATTAGGAGGTTGTTTAGCTACAATAGTAGAGATATAAACTTTCAAGGTAGAATAAGATAATCTAAAATTGAAGGACAAAGGTAAGTAAAGTTTTCAAAGAGCATCGTGCTGCAGGTAAGTTATGACAATCAGTAAAGAAAAGGAATACTTTCTATTTGTTTTAGTATAGAAGCTGGGTCGAGGGCTTTTGAGATTGATCAAGTATGTACATCCTTTATGATGGGAGTATCATCAACACCGTCAGGTTCAGAGAGGCTATGTCTGGCTGGTAAATCATCCTGTCGTCTTGAGTAAGAAGGTTGGGGATCGGTGGGAGCCGGAATGAGTCAGTTGACATCGAACTCAGGTGGGTGAACCATGGTTGTCTTGGCCACCATGGGGTGAGAAGGACTGCATTTGATTGGAACTGTTGAAGTCGAATGATGTTTCTTTGTATGAGCGATATCGGAGGGACTAAATAGAGTAGGTCCTTGTCCCATTCTATCATGAAGGCGTCTCGGATAGAGTTCTTGCTGATACCGGTTCGAGAACAGTAATGTTGGCACTTGGCATTTGTTTGAGAAGCAAAGATATCGAAGGACGGGGTGCCCCAGCAGTCGCAGAGGAGATAGGAGATTGTGTCATTTAGGGACTACTTGTGTGTCCTCGAGGTGAGGCAACTGCGATAGTCCGCGAGGGAGTTTTTTCTGTGGCTATGTGGACTGCTACTGGAAAGATGTGATGTAGGTAACACCATTCCCAGAGCTCAATGGTCAAGTACAGTAGGGATAGAGAATGTGTGCGTCCTTGTTGGTTTATGTAGTAAAGGACTGTCATACTGTCTGTAGCGAGTTGGACTGCACGTCCCGCAATAAGTGGTAGGAAAACGTGGAAAGCCTTGATAATTGCTAAAAGTTCAAGATGACTGATGTGCAATGTTTTCTCTTGATTTGTCCATAGGCCATGGATCCTGTGATGCAGACAATGTGCTCGCCATCCCAACGGACTGGCATTGGAGGTAACCTGTATTGTCAACTGAAGAGGCAAAAAGGGCTTCCCCACGAGCAAATACAGGAGAAATGTCCACCAGGTGAGTTGACGTGCAAGCTCGAGTGTTACTGTAAGATGCATCGATGGGTGGTCCGTCATGGGATTGAATAGTGACAGGTACCATGATTGAAGTGATCTCATTTTGAGTTGTACGTGCTGTATAACTGCAGTTGTCACAGCCATGAGTCCGAGGAGAAGTTGGACATGATGGACTGATACCAATGCTAGTGGTCGGAATGGTTGAATAGCCTCTTTTAGTTTGAGGATTCTCTCGTGTGGGAGAAGGCTCTGGCTTGTAGGGAATAGAAGTGCGTCCCGATGTAGGTAGCATTTTGAGATGGCTTGAGATGTGACTTGGTGAGATTCATCTTGAGGCCAAGGACTCAAGGTATATCAAGAGTGAGCTGGGTAGCTCTTACAACATCATGATATGAGGCTATCAACCAGTCATCTATATAAGGGAATATATTGATACCTTGAAGTCGAAGGTAGGCAGCGACTGGTGCCATGCATTTGGTAAAAGTCTCAGTGCTGTGGAAAGTCCGGATGGGAAAGAACAGAACTGGTATGTGGTGCTATTGAATCGGAAGCGAAGGAATTTGTGGTCATTCGGCTGAATAGAGATGTGAAAGTACGCATCCTGGAGATCAATGACAACAAACCAGTCTCCCTGTGAAAGGAGATGAATGTCTAGTGCAGGGGTCAGGGAACTTTTTTACCTTTTACCCAAGGACTCAAAGTATATCAAGAGTGAGCTGGGTAGCTCTGACAACATCGTGATATGAGGCTGAGACTATCAACAAGTCATCTATATAAGGGAATATATTGATACCTTGAAGTCGAAGGTAGGCAGCGACTGGTGCCATGCATTTGGTAAAAGTCTCAGTGCTGTGGAAAGTCCGGATGGGAAAGAACAGAACTGGTATGTGGTGCTATTGAATCGGAAGCGAAGGAATTTGTGGTCATTCGGCTGAATAGAGATGTGAAAGTACGCATCCTGGAGATCAATGACAACAAACCAGTCTCCCTGTGAAAGGAGATGAATGTCTAGTGCAGGGGTCAGGGAACTTTTTTACCTTTTACCCCGCAAAAAATTTATATACGATGACATTACCCCCTTGATTCGAATGGAAGGAAATCATACATTACAGTGGTGCCTCGCACATTGGGTGCCTCACACAACGATGAATTCACACAACGATGGCTTTTTCTGATAAAGAGCTTCAAAAGCAGGGAAACGGAGATCAAAGAGCCCTTTCCGATGTGCCTTTTCGCTCCTGTAAAAGTGTCTTAAACTGTTTGAAGCCTGTTTTAAATGCTTGCAATCGTTAGCCCACCTCCTGAACCCTATGCAAACTTAATTTGGTGTTGTTCTGAGTCTTCGTTAATTTTTGGTGATTTTTTGTTTTCTCCATTGAAAGCCATTGAATGGTCTGTCTAATAGCTTTCAATGGAGAAAACAAAAAATCAGCAAAAATTAACGACGACTCAGAACAACACCAAATTAAGTTTGCATAGGGTTCAGGAGGTGGGCTAACGATTGCAAGCATTTAA